AGGGGGGCCTTGGTCAAAACTGGGTATCGCCACATGGGGAAACTCACGGAACCAAGGACGGTGAACTTAAAGAAGGCTTAGAGATCGTGGCTGCCATTCAATTCCAGACAATCCTGCTTAGTCCACATCTTGAGTGTGTCAGCCAACCCCCCAAGTGACCCAGGAAGCCGGCCACCATGAGTCGGAGCCCGATCTTGGACTGTGACCCACTAAGACACTCAGAGTTGGGGTCCAAAGCCTCCCAGGATGCTACGGTTATTTTCCAACAGAAACATAAACTTCACCAAAGTAACTGGAAATATACTGATTTCTGGGAATCTCAGAAGTATATGAAATAACCCCAGCATAAATTCTATAAGAAATCAACTCCTCACAAGGACTCAGTACTCCCTGTCTCATGGATGTTACTCTAGCCCCAAGGAACACATTTCATGCCTGCAAAACACAACAGCTTCTTTCCTGCCTTCAGAAAGGCCGCCAGGGAAAGCCTGCTTCAGCCAATTCAAAAGCACTTTTCCCACCCTGAGTAAGCCGGCGATTTAAGACATTTGGGAACCCTAGCTCCAGAGCTCCCAACTCGGCATTTTCTGGGATACTCTGCCGCACCGCCTCCGCTTCCGCCCCAGATGCCCCACACAGAAGTTACCACCGCGCATGCGGGGAACTCGCTCCAGACCACAGTGCTAGCGCGCAGGGCAGACACCCTCACGCTTAGCTGCCCGATTCCAATGCCAGGGCTTTGCCGCAGCTCTCGAGCACAGAACTCTCGTTAAACCCAGTGCTGTCTCTCTGGTGAGAATTCCCACGGAGGAGAAAAGTCCGGCCCTGTGGTGCCAGCACACCCAAACATGGTGGCACGTGCCAACCCCAAGGGCCTTTAGCACAAGCTTGTCCACAGCCTGGCTGTCCTTCCCACTGAGTCAACATGTAGAAGGCTGGTTGCAAAGGATTCGGGTGCTCAGAAATTGAGGCACACGATGCCAGGCCTAAGTCCCACAAAACTCGAAGGTCAGAATTCCACTCTGCGTAAAGGAGACTCGAGAAGGCAAGCTGCATCTCCAGCCTCAGTTTAGCTGTCTGAATTCTGGCTACCTTCTAAGCCCAGCCCAGGAATGGTTAAGCACGCTGAAGAATGTTGCCATTAGAAATCTAAAATAAGGGCCTGACACAGTAGCCTAGTGGCTAAAGTCCTCCCTTGCACACTCCAGGATCCCATATGAGTACTGGTTCTAATCCCGGCAGCCCCGCTTCCCATCCAGCTGTTTGCAGCCTGGGAAAGCAGTGGAGGACGGCCCAAAGCCTTGGGACCCTGCAGCCACGTTTGCGACCTGGATGAGGCTCCTGGCTCCTGGCTGTGGATCGCCCCAGCACCGGCCATTGCAGCCACTTGGGGAGTGAATCATAGGACGGAAGATCTTCCTCTGTCTCTCCTGTTCTCTATATATCTGACTTTCCAACAAAAATAAAATCTTAAAAACAAACAAAACAAAAAATAAAATCAGTGTCATTCTACATGGCATAACCAAGAAAAATGTGAAGTTGGAGCCTCAGAAAGATAACTGAGCAAAGCTGGCACAGACAGCTCCTGATGCGCTGGGACCCCCCCACATCTTTGGGCTTCCCGACTATTGGGGAAGCACAGCCAATACAATCAAAAGCCATATTTTCCAATGACAACTGTCCAGTCCAGGGCTGCTGTGGACGGTCAAGGCATTATCCACCTGGTGGGGGTGGGAGGAGGAGTGCATCGGCAACCCCAAACAAGGTGGTCCAAAGTCAGCCCTGGTGGGGACCCCCAGTACAGCAAGGAGATGCCTGCTGATAAGCATAGTTCACGTGTCCAGCGTCAAGCACGGGCCCAACTGAGTTTCAGAGATCCTACCATTAAGCCAGAGCCACAATCCAGTGAGGTTCAAGTGCACTGACGGGCGTGAGGGGGAAGCAGCTTTTCCAAGGACCATGTCACTCCACATGGGGTCTTCTGGAAAGTCTTGTCCCCCTCAACCCTGACTCAAACTCACAGGTTTCAAAAATGTCTTTTAGGAAACTGAGCCAACACTCCGCACTTTCACAGGCCCATGAAGCCAAATGGAAAATTCTGTGAACGAGACGCTTCCCGTGGGGCCGGCAGCCCTCATGCGTGCCACTGTAAGCCCCGGATGCCTCACTTCCCATCCAGCTTCTTCTTGAAGTCTGAGAAAGTGGCAGAAGACAGTCCAGGTCCTTAAGGCCCTGCGCCCGCATGGGAAACCTGGAAGAAGCTCCTAGCATCAGATCAGCTCAGCTCCAGCCATGGTGGCCAGTTGAGGAGTGAACCAGCAGATGGAAGATCTTTCTCTCTATAAAATCTGCCTTTCAAATAAAAATGGATAAATCTTAAAAAAAAAAAAAAAAAAAAAAAACAAGCCGTAATGACATGACTTTACCCAGCACTTTTACTTTTCCTCATGTGAAATGACTGGCATCTGAAAAGGACCTCACTTGTGACCACTTTTTTTTGTTAAATTTTATTTATTTTTATTGGAAAGTCAGGTATACAGAGAAACAGAGAAAAAGATCTTCCACCTGCTGGTTCACTGTCCAAGAGGCTGCAACAGCCAGAGCTGAGCTGATACAGAGTCAGGAGCCTTTTCCGGGTCTCCCACACAGGTTCAGGGTCCCAAGGCTTTGGGCCGTCCTTCACTGCTTTCCCAGGCCACAAGCAGGGAGCTGGATGGGAAGTGGAGCACCTGGGATTAGAACCAGTGCCCCAATGGGATCCTGGAGTGTGGAAGACTAGGACATTAGCTACTAGGCCCACTTTGTAGTTTCATCTCCGAAGAGTTGGCCAATTTATTTTCAAGAGTAAACAGAAAAAAAAAAAAAAAAAAGGAAACTTCAAAAATACATAGGGAAGAGGATGGCATGGCGGCCAAACTGGCTAAACCTCTGTCTATAAGCATCAGCATCCCATACAGGTGCCACTGGTTCTAATTCCGGCAGCTCCGCTTCCCATCCAGCTCCCTGCTTGTGGCCTGGGAAAGCAGTGGAGGATGGCCCAAAGCCTTGGGACCCTGCACCCGCATGGGAGACCTGGAAGAAGCTCCTGGCTCCTGGCTTTGGATTGGCTCAGTTCCGGCAGTTGTGGCCATGTGCGGAGTGAACCAGTGGAAGATCTTTGTTTTTCCTCCTCTCTGTATACCTGCCTTTCCAACAAAAATAAGCAAACCTTTAAAAAAAAGACTTGATGTGGGCCCGGCACGATAGTGTAGCAGTTAAGGTCATCGCTTTGAACTGCCTTGAACGTGTCAGGATCCCTCATGGGTGCCGCTTCTAATCCCGGCAGCTCCACTTCCCATCCAGCTCCCTGCTTGTGGCCTGGGAAAGCAGTGGAGGACGGCCCAAAGCCTTGGGACCCTGCACCCACATGGGAGACCTGGAAAGAAGTTCCTGGCTCCCGGCTTCGGATCAGCGCAGCACCGGCCGATGCAGCCACTTGGGGAGTGAACCATGGGATGGAAGATCTTCCTCTCTGTACATCTGCCTTTCCAATTAAAAATAAATAAATCTTAAAAAAAAAAAAAAAAAAACCAAAGACTTGATATAACAGAACCACCTTATTGCAACCTCAGGGCACCACAGTATCTCCAACCTGTGTCCCAGTATCTCTCTCTACCAGAAACAAGAAGTTGTTTTCTGGGTGTTTCCAAAACGACTGGAACTGGGAGACACCCCGCCACCCAATCCCTAGTGACACCCAAACACTGGGATGACCCAGGCACAAATCTGATGGCAGGCAACCTACCCCAAAGGCAACACAGGCATGTGACCTGACCTCAGCTTGGGTTTTTAATTAGCAAATAAAATTTTCTTTGAAATCACAGGCAGTTCCACCTCTTGCACTGGCCTAGTTGTGGCACTGGGTGTGGGCTCCTGTCCCAACACAAGGTCCCCGAGTCTCTCCCAAACCCAGGCTCTCAAAAACGATCCCTCTTCACCCAGAAGCCACCTGGGTGACCACGGGTCACTTCGGCAGGTGCCATTGTGTGTGGTGTGGTCCTGGGAAAAATGCAACCCTTACCGGAAGAGCCCAGAGAGCCCCAACGTGTCCTTGACAAACGGCACGGGGCGTGGACACGCTGGTGGGGGGGAAGTGAATCCGCTTTTATTCTTTTCAAATCCACAGCGGCTTCCTGGCATTCCCGACTAGTAATCACGAATTTTTTTTCCCCCTTTTTAAACAAGACGCTTCATATTTTATATAGAGAGACAGTCTGCATTTGACCAGAATCAAAACTATTTGTTCTCCAGGTTGGGGGGAGGGAGGGAACAAAACAACAAATTTTGCCAGCAAGCACGTAGCACGTGTCTGACCCAAGAAAAGAACTCGCAGGAAAACGCCACCCCGTGTATGTTTTGTTCGTCTTCCCGCTGCCTGCAGAGAGGTTGTGTGTGTGTGTGGCGGGGAGGGGGGGACCCCGACTGTATCCTGGGCTTGCAGCCGGCACATCCCTAACTCTCTCGGGCCCAGATCTTCCCCATGCTGTGTGGGCCCCATGGCTAAGGGGGCCAGGCACCCGCAGCGCCGGAGGCCGGCCAGGCCGCGGCCCGCAGCCCGCGCCGCACCCGGGGGCCCCGCGCCGCCTCTGCCGCAGGGAGAGGCCAGGGCATCGGCCAGGACAGTGGACACCCGTCTCCGGGCAATGGGCACCGCGGCGACCGGACTCCACCGCGGGAGACAGGAACACAGGGGATCCGCCCCACGAGCTAGACCCCCGGAGGCCTAACCGCCCGCCCGTGGCCCCCCGACCCCGAGCGCGCCATTTCCAGGCCCCGGCCCTCCCGGCCTCTCCCGCGGGGAGCCCCGGGTTGTGTGGCCCACCCCAGGGACGGACGCACGGAGGTCGCCGCGCAGAGCAGGGGGGAACCCCTCCGCCTCCGACCCCTTCTCCAAGCTCGGCTCTCCCGGCTCCCGCGCTCGGCGAGGGCCCGCGCACTCCCGCCCTGTCCGGCCTCCTCACCCTCTGCCGCCGCCGAAGCTGCTGTAGGCCCGATCGTCGTAGGTATCGAAGTCCGCCATTTGCCGTCTCCGCTCCGAGGAGGAACCAGGCTGAGCGAGGAAGGACCCCGCAATATAACTCCCCCCACCCCCCGCCCCGCCGCCGGGGCTGTCCGCCGCGCCGCCTGATCGCAAATCGCACGCACGCACGCGCGCGCGCGCGCACGTACGCCGCCCCGCGCCGCGCCCGGCCTGGGCCGACGGGGGCCGCTGCTGGGCCGGCGCGCTCTGCGGCCCACGTGGGACGGCGGCGGCGGCGGCGCGGGGGTCGCGCGCCTGGCCGGCCGGCCTGACCCATTGTGTGCTGGCCCCGTGGCTTCAGCCGCGGACGCTCCTGTTCCCGTCGCCGCCCCGCCCTGCGGTGCGCGCCGGCTCCCTCAGCCCCACTCCCACCATGACCCCGGAAACCTCAGAGGATGGGGATGAGGGGTGTCTCCGGATCCGGGTTCGCCTTGGGAACGTGCTGCCTGTGGTACCCTAAACCTTGCAGGACTTCCCCCTCCTCGTCCCCCTAGGACCTGTCCATCCTATACATCTCTTAGGACCGATTAGAAGCCACCTGCCGCGCCGCCCCCCGCAGCGGGCCACTTGCTCGGAAGCCAAGGGTGGTGAGGAGGGGGTGTGAGGCGGTGCGGGTGCGTTGCAGGCAGGTGTCCTGTTCGCGAGGATCTGCACACTGCCTGGCCCTGATGTAGGCGTTCGAGCCGCTCACTTAGGCCCATGTCATCAAATTAACTTTTCCGCTATGTATTTCGTTGGCCTTTTCGAGAAGGGGGGTCCATCTCAACTTTCTGACTGTGCCGAAAGCTCTTCTAGCCTGGCTCTCCTACTTGGGGTCCCACAGGGCTTGGTGCATGGTTCACAAACAGCTGGAACCAAAGTGGTGTAGCTAGGAGTCAAATCTGCCCCATTACAAGCAGTGACTACCTAACCTATGGGGCCACAACTCCATCCCCCCCTCTTTTTTTTTTTTTCTTTTCAAGTAATAAAACATTATCAAATAAGCAGATTAAACTTGACCTGGGAGCCTCAGCCCCATCTCTTGGGTAAACACCTGCCAGCTTTGTAGCCTCTTTAGCATCTAAGTGTTGTCAGCTGCAATCCATTTCAGTCGTGTGAGGAATAAAGTAAGTGTCTATACAATTCCTGGTGAGCATATATTGGTCAACCTGGTTAGGTGTGTACCTATATAATTGACATTTCTGTAAGACAGCTGGGAGGAAGCTCCTGGCTCCCTGCTCCAGATCCCTGCTCCAGCTGCAGCTGTTGCAGCCATTTGGGGAGTGAAGCAGCGGATCAATCTCTGTCTCTCTTTTTAGGTCATAATAATAAAAGATGAAAATGGAGCAGGAGAGAGCTCCTGGCCCAGGGGGCGTCACAGCAGAATGCATTCCTTGTGTGTTTGTGGCATACCTGTGCAGCTGACGCTTGCGCAAGAGCATAGCACACAAATGACCTCCCGACTGTGGCACTTCCTAAGGATCAGCGATGACTGACTGGTGGGGCAGGCGCGTGGTGCAGCAGTTTAAAATGCCAGTTGACACTCCCGTGGCATCAAAAGCCTCCAACCCTGCCAGGTCCCAGCCGGTGGGTGGCTCAAGAGCTTGAGTCCCCTGCCATCCCCATGGGAGATCCACTTGGAGTTCTGGGCTCCTGTCCCTGCCCAGGCCAGTCCTGAAGGTGGCAGACATTTGGCGAGTCCATCAGCAGGTAGAAGGTCTCCAACAAGATGAAATGAGTTGAAAAATAACACAAGTTCCTGCTGTATGTGCTTATTGTACTTTCTGTCACTATTGTGTAGTATTTTCCCACTTAGAAGTTTTTTTTTTCCAAGATTTACTTATTTTATATAGATTTTTTTTTTTAATATTTGAAAAGCAGACTTAAAGGGAGAAGGAGGAATTTTTGATCCATTGCTTCATTGCTGAAATGGCCGCAATGGCCAGAGCTCAGCTGATTCAGAGCCAGGAGCCAGGAGCTACTTCTGGAGCTCCGATGTGGGCGTAGGGTCCCAAGGCCTTGGGCCATCTTCCGCTGCTTTCCCAGGCCACAAGCAGGAAGCTGGTTGGATAAGAAAGTATCCAGGACACAAACCGATGCCCATACAGGATGCCGGTGTTTGGAGGTGGAGGATTAACCTATTGAGCCAGGCACTGGTTCCAGCAAAAGTTCTCAGTTGAAGGCAGTATGACATACATGCCCCTGTGGCAGCAAGCTCGCGTACCTTGTTGGCTCCCTGGCATGGAGTCACATCCACTGGTTGATCTATACCGTGCGTGTTCTGACATGTTTGCACAGTGATGACATAGCCCAGCCCTGCCTTCTCAGGATGGGTCCCTGTCATCAGCTGGCACATGACTACACCTCACGGGACCTCAGGTAAGTTGCTCAAGCTCTCAGTTCTGTGGGGACAACACAGGAGTAATAGCTGTTGTCCTACTTTTTGTTGTATGACTTTTTTTTTTTAATTATTGGAAAGTCAGATATACAGAGAGGAAGATCTTTGGTGTGTTGATTTACTCCCCAAATGGCTGCAACAGCCAGAGCTGAGCCGATCCAAGGCCAGGAACCAGGAGCCTCTTCTGGGTCTCCCACACAGGTGCAGGATCCCAAGGCTTTGGGCTGACCTTGACTGCTTTCCCAGGCCACAAGCAGGGAGCTGGATGGGAAGTAGAGCAGCTGGGACATGAACTGGTGTCCATATGGGATCTCGGGCATGCAAGGTGAGGATTTAGCCATTATTCTACTACAGCGAGCCCTGTCAGCTTGCTTTTGCCTCACATATTTTTCTTTATCCTTTTACATTTAGCTTTTCAGAAGATTTCTGGGTGTAAATAGCATATGTGTAGCATATGGCTAGATATTACTAATAGCAAAGCACCACATAATGTCTACTCTTTATTTGGCAAGCAAGTACACTTTGCTTTGTTGGGATTACTAGTATATTTGGATTTATTTCTATCTCATATTTGTTTCCCATATGCTATACTTTTCTTTGATTCCCTTTGAGTCTTTTATTTTGATCTTCTCTTAAAATTGTCTGAACTTGGCCCGGCGCTGTGGCCTAATGGCTAAAGTCCTCACTTTGAATGTGCTGGGATTCCATATGAGCACCGGTTTTAATCCCGACAGCTCCACTTCCTATCCAGCTCCCTGCTTGTGGCCTGGGAAGGCAGCCAAGGACAGCCTTGGGACCCTGCACCCACATGGAGATGGAAGAAACTACTGGTATGGACCCAGCGTGGTGGCCTAGAGGCTAAAGTCCTAGCCTTGAATGCGCCAGGATCTCATATGGGCACCAGTTCTAATCCTGGCAGCTCCATTCCCCATCCAGCTCCTTGCTTGCGGCCTGGGAAAGCAGTCAAGGATGGCCCAAAGCACTGGGACCCTGCACAGTATGGGAGACCTGGAGCAAGTTCCTGGGTCCTTGCTTCAGATCGGCTCAGTACCGGCCGTTGCGCTCACTTGGGGAGTAAATCATCGGACGGAAGATCTTCCTCTCTCTCTCCTCCTCTCCGTATATCTTTGACTTTCCAATAAAAATAAATAAATCTTAAAAAAATAAAAAGCTCCTGGTACCTCGCTTAGGATTAGCTCAACAGTGGCCATGGTGGCCATGTGGGGAGTGAACCAGCGGAGGGAAGCTCTTTGTCTCTCCTTCTCTCTATATATCTGACTTTCCAATTAAAATAAATATTTAAAAAAAAAGAGAGAAAGGTCTGACATTCAAATATATCTGAAAGACTTCTTCAGCAAAAAAAAAAAAAAAAAAAATGGAAGCTGCTAAAATTACGTTAAACAACAACAAAAGAGCCAAGGACTCAAGGCTGGAGGAAGAGGGGCCTGATGCCCAACCCCCTTTTAAGTTTTTCTTTTGGGGGGGCTGGCATTGTGGTGTAGCGGGTTAAGCTCCTGCTGTGATACTGGCATTTCAGGTGAGCAGTGACTCAAGCCCTGGCTGCTCCTCTTCTGATCCAGCTCCCTGCTAACACCCAGGGAAAGCAGCAGAAGATGGCCCAAGTCCTGGGGCCCCTGTACTCACGGGAAGCCTAGATGGAATTCCAGGCTCAGGTTGCAGTCACCTGGAGAGTGAACCAATGAATGTCTCTCTCTCTGTGTAACTTGCTAAGGGTCTCTTTTTGACGCTGGAATTCAGCTTAGGCAGATCCAATCTTTCCCCCAAGGGGAAAGCTCACACAACTCGCGTGAAGGGGAAAGGATGGGAGAGTTGGAGCCAGCCAAACTGCAGAAACAGCAAGGCAGGGAAGAAACGACAAGGGTGACGTGTGGGGATTGCCCTCGGTAAGCCAGCGTCCAGCTCATCTCTGAATCAGTGTTCTGAAGAGGGCAGGGAGCACTGGGGGCTTCTGCCGGCTGGCCGATGTTGAGAAGGGAGAGGCGTTAGGAGATGGATAACAGTTACAGGAAAGCAGGTAGAAACAGACTGGAAATAAAACAAGAGGGTGAGGGCCTTTGGCCACACCTGGAGGCTCCAGGCCAAGACTGTCCAGTCATCTTGGTCTTGTGAGATGCCTGTGGTTAAAGGGTGTGGAGGTGGCCCAAGTTCACTGTGCAACCTAGTCCTGCCCTCTTAAGGGCCACCTGACCCGTTCACCAAGTGTTCGTTATGATCCTCGTTTTAATTCACAAGCTTCCGGAGTTTCTTTTAGAATAGGGGCTAGACACATGGCGATTGGCATTTTAAAAGGTTAAAAACCTGCTCAAGCGGGGGCTCGAGCTCTAGCGGGATTGGGTCTTGGCCCCTGTCCAGCCTCCTTCCCACCCTCTTCCAGGTTTGCACACACTCCAGTCCTTTGTCACTGCTCTGCCTTTCCCCCGAGCGATTCCCACTTCCCAGAATGCCCATCTCCCTCCCTCTTGGCTCTGCAGGTGAGGGCTGTCTGCAGACCTGGCCTCCTTCAGCAGCCTCCCACAGCCTCGCCTCCCCTCAGCCGTGTTCCTGAGGACGTGTCCGACTCTCCCACGGAGCCTAGGTCACCTTTGCGACTCTCTGGAATTGTCTCTAACCCTGCGAGGCGCGAGGCGACAGCCTTCCCCGACACAGCAGGAAACAACAGGCTATGCCACCCGCAGCCCCAGCTTAGCTCCCTCCCAGGGAAATGTGACTCCCG